ACAGGGCTTTGAACAACCTGGTCTAGTGGAAGGTGTCCCTGCCCATGGCAGGGGGGGTGGAACTAGATGATCTTCAAGGTCCCTGCCAACCCAAACCATTCTGTGATTCTGTGATTCTAAATCATATCTTTGCCTGCATTGAATAATGACTATATGAAATGTAGAGCTCACATCCTTTAAAAAAAATAGCTGAACTTCAAAAGACTGGGCTTCAGTGTTACAATAACTAAAGGACAATTGCAGGACAGTTGTTTTTCCAATGTCGGACAAGCTTTAATATAAATAAAAATATAGAATAAAGATTTCTACTACTTACCAGCGCACTGATTGTTTTCATCCAACTGGTAACCAAATCGACAGATCAGAGGTCTTGTAACAGTAGGGTAGTTAGGAACGGGGCCTGGTGCTGGGGGCGGTGGATAAATATTTGAATAAGGATTCAGATATGGTGACCGATACACTGGGTTCGTTCGGGGTACGCATAAATAGCCACCATTCTGGTTGACACACACCATATCTCCTCTGCAGGCCTCAGGAATAGTCCGACATTCATCAATATCTGGAAGGAAATTGCAAAAGTTAAATGAGTGAGTGCTTCTTAATGGGACCTGTCCAAAAAATAGTTAACATATTTTTCTCAAGACTTTGTTAAAAAATTTGATACTCTTTTTGAATGGAAAAGCTAATCCTTCCTTGTGGAGCCTCACTTTGAAGTTAGATCATACTAAAACAGGAAACATCCCATATATTCAATATATCCTGTGCTCTACTTGTTTTACTTCACTATAAGAGGGTAGAGAGAGAGGGGAAAGCCTGCTTTGTTATTCTATAAATGTTCAGTTTAAACACTGATTTACACATGGCTACAGCATGCTACTGCCTGTTCCTGGTAGAGGGTCTGTCCAAACCACAACATGCAGATCAGGATTTTAAACACTGGTGGTTTGGTTTGCCCAGCTGTGAAACTTGGATCCCGATTTGGAACTCCTGAGCTCCCTCCCACAGAAAAAGTTAGGGATGTTCAGATCTGGGGACGTGGTTCAGGCCTCTTTCTTGCTCTGATTGAGATTGTTGCTGAATTAAATTTAGGAAGATATAAATGGTTTAGCCAAACTGAGCATTCGCTTGGTTCTCAGAGCACAGAAGCAGTAGGTTGCTATGACAGGGCAAGCAATCTGTTGCTTGTTTTTCCCTTACTGTTTGAGTGACTTTAATGCACGCAGAAGATGCTGCCCTGGAGACTGAATGCCATTGATAAAAAGATGCTATAGGGCAAAGTGCGTGTTTCCCTATATTGCCTCAACAATTTACTTGGAGTTTCAACCCTGAGCAGTGCTAGACTTTATCTGAGCCTCCAGGTGGAGGCTGCCAACAAAGATAGTAAATAGTCTGGAGGAGAAAGAGGAGGGTAAACAACCCTTGTCATTTGGCAACTTGTCTGAGCTCCCAAATTCATCTCAGTGCATCACAGCTATTTGAGAAGTGCTGGCAGCCAATTAGTATCTCAACAATGTCAAAGATCTGTATATATTTGTGCTATGTAAACACACACACATATTTCTATATATACATATATAATTTTGTATATACATATACACAAACACACATATTTGTCACACAGCAAGAACTTTTCAACTAAAACATACTAACAGCAGCACAATGTTAACTCAATAAAGTCAGAATTTCTGAACCCCAATTTAAATGTATTGATTTAATTAAGGTCCTACCTAAGCACTGCCCAGAGGCACGGTCCAGGTCAAACCCATTAGTGCATTGTTGCTAAAATGAGAAAACAAAAGACACTCAGTGACTGTGAAATGAGAGGGTTGCAGAGTCAAACACTCATCTGGATTATTATGCCTAATACAATTGTTCAGCACTATACAGTACACCAAAATAAAGTCCCTTCCCCAAAGGACAGTCAGCAAGGCATGAACCTGAGACCTTAGCACATATGCCAGCCCCTCAACTCAGAAGGTTGTTCCCTCAGATGGTGACAGTGTCAGGCTGTTCATCTCCCCGGCAGTAACCAACACATAATGTGCGATGGGCTCCATACCATTTGTTAACACAGAAGTACATTCTTCTAATTTGGGGTCTTGTTTTTGCCAGAATAGGGGGGCTCAGTTAAAAGGTACCAGCTAACTTCTCTAACAGGCTCTAAAACACCACATATAGACAATTCAGTACGTATGTCTCGACATGTTAGCCATCTGACCAAACTGAAGCCATCGTCAAAACACAAGCAGCTTAATAAAAGTAAGGCTTTTACTTTACACCAAACCTTTTGATTTTTAGAGGATAGATCTTTACATGACATATGTCCTAGGCTTGCAAGGTTACTTATTCCTTCCTATCCTACGGTGCTGGTCTTTACCAGGGCTGCAACTTGGAGTCTTCAGCACCTCATCAGTGACCTTCAGCAGTTCTGTAACAGTGACAGTCCTGGTGATGATTGTGTCAAAGCCCATTAAAAGGATTCCCTGCTCTCCCTACTTTTTGACTGAGCCTCCAGCTATTTAACAAAGGGCCAAGCAGTTTTCACAAGCACAGGATCCTGCCAGTTAATAGGTTATACTAAGGAATGTAAGCAAGAGATATCCAGAAAACAGGAACCACTGAAGTAAGCAGAGGGCAGAGGGATGGAGTGTGTTCAAGATTCTTCCTTTTTTGTTGTTGTTAAATAATAAAGACACTTATTTTTGGCTTTGTGGAAGAAATCAGTGGAAGAGTAAAGTACTTGGTTCATGATTGGAAAAGTAGTAAGTTGTAGATGGGAGACAAGAGGTCAGATGGGTAAGTCCGTGGAAGCGGGCCATTGCAGGAACTAGGGAGGGGACACGAAGTGAAACGCATGGCACTATTTGGACTGCACCTGCCACTTGCACACATGAATACACAAAACCATTACTAGAAGCGTCAAGCAACTATGAAGGAATTTTGCCTTCATTTATTTTGGCATTCCGAGATGTTTTTGTATCATGCTGTGGAAAACCAAGATATTCTGATGGGAGGATGTATAATCAGCCTCATGTTTTAAAGAATGTATGTACTCTACTTTTTGTTCTCTTTTCTGTGCTCTGGTGTATACACTACACATAGGTTAGCAGGAAAAGTTAAGGTAGTTTTTAACAAAATTATTTTCTTTTGGACAGTAAACAATGATTCAGAAACACTGAAACTCCTGTAGAACTGGTTTCAACAACTTTCTAGAACTAGAAATCTTGTCCTAGAAAAGATTCCAATATTGTTGAAATGACCAGTCTCAGAAAGAAATTGTTGCTATCATCTGCTATTCAGAAATTCAGAAAGAATTTGTTGCTATCATCTTGGTTTCAAGTTGCTTTTTGCTTAGACTTCAAAGTCAATTTATGGTGCAAGATATTTTTGTAAAAATAGCAATGGAAACAATATTTTTTAAATTATAAAAACAAACCCTTAAAGACATCTCAAAAATTCTCCAGGGGCATGAAAAGCATTTCCCATACAGATCCAATGTTCACAAAAATATCAATAAGCATGCCATGTGCAGGAAATTTTCAATGTAGTAGAAAAAAAACCCTACATTTCAGAGCCTTTTGGCAACAGTATTTAGAAACACAGCTCTGGACACTGGGTATATCTGGATTATCAAATAGGAATTCAAACTTAACATGCCTGTGGGAACTGTTTTTCCTAATTTAAAGTCCACTTGGAGCCCAGGAACACAAAGAACTAATGCTTCTGCTATTTGAAGAACTGGACTGCTTTACTTCCATCCACACTCAAGAGCCCTGGCTCTTGAATAAAAATGGGTTCGGGCATAAATTAAAATGAAAACTAGGATGCAGTCATTCAGGATCACAATCCAAAATTAAACGGTCTTAAGAGAAGATCCTGCTACACACAGAAAACACCTATTTATATGAATAGGTTTTCCGAACGTGGATGTTCCCCACCACAGAACTGAGCTGTCCCTGCTCTCGTGGGATGGCTTTTCCTAGTTCCTTTTCCAGAAGTGTTCAGTTCAGAGGCAGAATCAGGTTTTCAGTGAGGTCCAGGGATATTTTGCTGAGCTGGCAAGGATGAGTCAATAAGCTCAGTCCATGTTCAACTCCAGAATCCTGCTGGCTCCAAGTTTTCCCCTCTAAACCCTTAGACCACACAGCTTCCTTTTCATGTAAACCCCAGACCACAGAGCTTCCTATTCACCTGCTAGCCAGTTAAGTCTCATGCCATATAGCGCTTCAGTACAGAACAGTACATAGATCTCTGTGTGCACCTCTCACCTGTGCTTTTCCAGGTCTTGAAAGGCAGACGGCCAGTGTGAAAGCAGTCAGTATCCTGTAATGTGCATAGAAAATAGGCTGAAAACCTTCTGATATCCAGGCTCATTATATAGAATTAAATACACATGGACAAATTAATTTCTAGTGACACTTCAGTGTATTCCACAGAGATTTGCTAACATGAATTTGGCCTCTGGAGAGGGAGTAATAAAACTGTGGGCCAGATTCAGGTCTCAGCGTCACTAATTTTACTATGGTTTTCTGCAACTGGGATCAGAATCGGACTGAACATGTCTATTAACTAATCTATTTTTTGTGATACCCCATGCAGCTGCTTAATGAACAAGTGCATAATATTCAGTAAAGTATTTTTGCCCCTCTCCGACACCTTACTTTTGAGAATATCAAAGTTTTTCTTGCACATTATGCACATTTTACAGATGGGTAAACTAGAGCACAGGCCCTGCCTAAGCTCACAGTGCAACGCACTGGCAGGGCTGCAGACATGTCATGCAGGAGGTCCTGAATCCAAGCCAGTTGCTCTAACCGCTAAACCGCATTTCATTCCCAGGAGACTATATTTGAGATTAATCCATTTTCTTAGGGCCAGATTCTGTCCCTTTACTCAGTCTTGAGTAATACATTGCTCTGCAAGTAGACACACTGTGCCAGGTCATCAGCTACCAGCAGCTGCTATCTTCAGTGGAGCCTTCCCCAGTTATATCATCTTAGCATCTAGTGGGACCTACTGGGTCTCTTCACTGCAACTGAAGGAAGAGGATCCCTCGCTAACAGAGCTCTATGGCTGTATTTGGAACTCCTTACCTGGAGCACGAAAATTCTGGTCAACTAAGCTCCCACCCCCAAGTATTTACTAATGGACAGAAAACCAGGAAAGGACAGTAAGAAATTATTTTTTTCTATGTACTATGGATTTCAGTGCTTTGCCGCTGCCTTATATAACATTTCTTCTCAAAACAATTAGACCCACATCTTGCTTATCTTGGATTCTAGTTCTGAATGGCAATTGTATACAACACATTCCCACAAAACCAGTACAGGAAGCAAGGGATATTTTAGGTAGCCTTAGTTCTTCTACGCAAGCGAGCTGCCAACTTTCTCTCTTAGAGCTGTCTCTGACTGCCAGTGCAAACTGAGCTGCTGAACAAGACCTACAAATGCATCAGACAAAACCACACACAAACAGTGACCAACACATTTGAACAAACTTGTTTTAAATGAGGAGACAGGCACAAGCTCTGAAAAGTAAACATAAACCCTAAAATGGTTGTTCATAGTGCTGAGGAGAGAGATCGTTCTTGTTGGCAGCCTTTGAGTGACAAGGAAAGGCAAATTCTGTACAGACTTTTCCTTAGAGTGGGATGCAAAGCATTCAAAATACAACATTATCCATTTAGGCTTCATTTACTGATTCCTCAAATCTTTTTGAAGAGATTTTGAAGCATGCACTGGTATAAAGACTGCATACTCACTTTGCATATAGCAAAAACAGCACTGGAAGGAAATACGACAGGTTACAGCCGAATGTTAACATACCTAGCAACTGGGCTACACTCTACATTATTGCAGAGCAGTGCACGCTAATAAAATCCCCTATAAAACTGGTCAGGCAAAACTCATACGTTTCTAGACGGTCTTTAGTTTCCGTTGTTACAGGATGATATATCCTTTCCTCTTGGTGGGGGGGGCGACCTTACTGCCTCATATGTGTTCTGCCTGCAACCACCATTTCAATTTGCTCGTTACTTCAGATCTCAAATCCCCTCAAGAATCATTAACAGACATGCGGCACAACCTATTAACACTATATTCAGCTGGTCACAGCAGCTTGCCCAGCAGGCAAAATATTTTGAACTAGTAATTAACTTCTGCAATAGTAACTAATTAGCTTCAAATCAATCACTGTAGCCTTCTGCCTGCAACCACCATCTCAATTTGCTCGTTACTTCAGATCTCAAATCCCCTCAAGAATCATTAACAGACATGCGGCACAACCTATTAACACTATATTCAGCTGGTCACAGCAGCTTGCCCAGCAGGCAAAATATTTTGAACTAGTAATTAACTTCTGCAATAGTAACTAATTAGCTTCAAATCAATCACTGTAGCCAGCGGGATCATTTGCTGTCGCAATTCAGCACTCCTGTGGATGCCGGGGTTCCTAAAGCGCAGAGTGTAAGCACAGATCAAGAAGGAACTCGTCAGAGACAGCACAGCTTTAATAACAGACAGATCGTCTTTCCCCACCTCTGACCATTGAGATCCCATCTCTTTGCAAATGGCTTTAGCAAGTGGATTGGCATACCGAATCCCTGCCACAGATATTTTCCACAAGTAGGTTTCCCTTCAGTAAGTAAAGAAGTTTCATGCATACCACTTACCTTTTTAATCCTTGCATGTCCAAAACCGTTGGGGAAAGGTGGGAAAAAACCAGAGTCTGTGCTGATGAATAACTAGAAAGTTTTTCCAAACATTACCCTCTGCTAGCACTTCAGTTCCTCAGTCATTTATAGTCCAAAGAATGAAATAGCAAGTAATGGAGAAGATCAGGAGCCGTCTGTACCTCCTCAGACACTGGAGAGAATACAGAGAAAGCACCTGGTTTTGCTTAGTTCTCTTCTGTAATTCAGCATTAAACCAATTGGAGGAGGAATGTTAAAAATGAACACTTCATTTTCTAAGTATGTTAAACAATGCAAATGGGGGCCTCAGCCTGGGACAGCTGGTTTAGATTACAAAGCTCACCAACTGGCTAGACTCCTCACAACAACCTCGAGGAGCCTGCCAGGATAAAACACTAACAGCTTGAAGGAAAGCCTCTCCCGCTGCAAACTTCACAGTTAAATGTGCCTCAGAGCAGAGAGCACCGTTATTGGACAGAAACCCTTATCAAGGGACTGGAGAAGGGAAGGGATTGTTTTCCTTGCTCTGAGAACAAAAAAAATGTCAGTCTTTTTGGAGGCCCTCTAGCCGGTGTCTCGGACGATGAATATGCAACACTCGCTGCTTCGTGCCAATGGCATACTGATGAAAGGTCTGACCCTCTGGGAGGTGAATAACTTGAATTCATGACGATCACAGCTACAGGAACTATATTGCTTGGGGATTATTTGAAAACAGGAATAAACAAATTAAATGCTCAAAGGAAAACAAATGGCTTGTCTACAAACACTGGCCCTTTTTAAACTGACCCCATGCTTAAGGGAGTAGTTTGTGAAATGAAATACTTCTCAGGAAAGATATATCTTGCAGATCTCCAGTTATGATTGAAGAGGAAGGAAATGAAGTACTTTTTCAGGTGTTTTGCAACTTTGCCACAGGCAGAGCTTTAGTAGGTCAAGCAGAACATTTATGAGATGTGAGAGGTAAGCAATCAGATGCTGCAAAGATTATGCTAGATCCAAAGATGAATACTGAAATTAAATACAGACATAGACATTAAATGAATACTTTGAATTTCTGTTGAGTCTTCCATTTGAGGAAACCCTTTATTCCTAAGGAACGTGAAATGTCCGATAAGATAAAAATCTATCATACATCTCTCCGTAACAGATTGAGAAACAGAGAAACAGAGTTATAACAGATATTCATAAAACTGGCCTCTAAGCATGGATACCCAGCCTGAGATACAAAGATTGAGCTGCTTCAGAGTTGCTGAGCACCCACAAGTCCTACCAGTGCCAATGGGAAGTGCACGAGCTCTGTACCTCACTAACTGGCTTGTAATTGTCCAAATTACCTTTCAAAAATGACACCACCACACGCTCAGTGCCATTTCTGACAGTTTGTGTCTCAGTGACTTGCTCACATCACTTGCATTGCATGGAAAATTAAACACTCTCCTAGAATTATTCAAACAGCGTCAATACATTTGCAGATAAACAAGAACCAATTAACTTATTTTAAATAGACTTCCCAAAAGGTTAACAAAAACTCACACAAGGGACTTCTGAAGAAGTTCACGGGGCATGTTGTGAGAGGAAGGTTTTGTCACAGGTCAGAAAACGGGCGAGAGAGAGAAAGCAGAGACTGGGCAAATTTTCATTGTGGCAAAAGGTTAGCAGTGAGTATTCTCATTACTCCGTAAGTCCAGGGTTTCTCAATACACTCAATGATCTGGAGTGCTTACTGTATGCTAGGTGTGTCAAGATCTACTGAACCTATGAGAAACAGCTCTACAGCAAAGCAGATGCTCTGAGCATCCATTTGTGTGGATTAAGAGCTTGCTTCATATACTTGTTGATACTTCACTTGCTGATCCACTGAACTTTTCTCAGCGTCACATGGTAAAACCATTGTACGTGTGCCAGAATCACCGTACGAGCGCAGCACCAGTCTGCTCCCAAAGAATCGCCTCAGACTAAAGAGTTCTGATTCATCAGTCAACTGGCAGAGGTGGTCCAGTGCTGGAGACGGGAGGTGAATCCAGACCTGACCACCTAAGGGGCTCCCTTAAGAAGGGATACTGTACAAATGTTTTGATTTTTCCTGTCTCCATCTGACAGCCAGAGTGGATAAAAAACAGAGTATAAAAAGTGTACCAAACCACAGCTTGGGCTAGTTTACAGTGTGGTGACTTTTTTTTTCCCTAAATAAAAGGATGTGATGTCATGGCTAAGTAGAATTTCTGCAGCACCTTTCTGTAACTACCATCAGCCACAAAATAATGAGATGCAGCCACACCCATCTCACAACTCTCTTTGATACGAGGACTTGCATAAAGGAAGATGTTTGTGGTACATAAAAACTCCGTTGTTCACCCTATAAAAACATGGACAATTCAACATATCTTTCAACACCATCTGCTGACACCTTCACCATTTATGCTTAGGATGGTCTAGCAGCACTCTCACTTCAATGGTCTCAACTATCCCCCCATGTTATAAAATCCACTAGTTTATTTAGATTACCTTGACGTTTTCTTTGTCTTCATGAGAAGATGAACAGCCCACAGTACAAAATGGGGCTCTGTTAAGTAACTGAGTATGTTCTTACAAGTTTGCTTTGTGCATAGCTAGGGTTGAAACTATAGCTCTAATTATGTTTGAGCCTTGGATTTCGAAAATTGTGTAATATATAATGAGGGGCACAAGCTATGTTGTGTAACCTTAACTCTACCTTCCTTGGATGAGATGACTGAATGTATGAATTACACCATGCTCCTGCAGATAATGCACCACGCTGGGTTAGCAGGGACCCTCAGCACCGGAGAACATAATCTATCCGCTTCTGAATGATAAGACAAAAGCTGCATTTAGGTCAGGGAACTCAGTAAGAGTTAACTACACTCAGCACTCCTGAACAAAAAGTCTGCTTCACAAAAACAAGTCCTCACCTACTAACTTTTACAACACTTCATCTCCTTTTTTAATTCTATCTGAAATTATACTTACACTTCTCCAGAACTGTATCTGCCAAACACCCTTCTTAGACGTTCTTGCCATTTTTTAAAGTTCACCCTCTCTGAACATTCTCAAGGACATTGTCAAACTGTGGGAGCCGAGTCAAATCACACAGATCTGTATGGTGGTAGGTGTGCGAGCCCAAAGTCGTTGAAAGTGACGAGTCTGAGACATCTTTTACACAGCCATATAGACCTGAATTCACTAAAGGACTTTGCCAATAACTGACACTTGAAGGGCCTATGTCCAAGCTTTAGGTGCTTAAAACATCCATTTTGCTCCTACCAAACCTGATGGAACCAAATTTTCTATCAGCAAAACTGGTAAAACACTTAGAGCACAACTGCTGAGCATTTGTAGGAACAACTGCATTTTGATAGCACCTAAGCTCCAAGAGATTCACAAGTTGGACTTTCGCCTGACTATGGAGATTGATCTAAGTGTTCTTGGAGACTGCCAAATAAGCAAGCTTTTGACATTGCCACACATAGATATAACACACGACAGGCAGCGATTTGAACTACGCACATCTCACCCTACTGCCACATGAATAGCACTAAGCACATGGGAAACTTGGTCTCAAACCCTAAGTCTGCCTGAAAAAGAATTCTGCTTGTTTCTTCCACCTCCCAGGACAGAATCCCATTGCAAACTCTTGGTGTTTGGGGAGGGTCCCCTCTTGTGTTTCAAAGACGGACTGCCTTATGCTATCAGCTGAGGTCTGCTTCATTCAGTGTCTGAATTGTTATTGCCATCTCATAACATGAACAATGCAGTAACCTGTTCCAGATGGCTCCAGCCAGAAGCTCAGAAGCACAGTCCCACACATATTTTCCTTTCCTAGCCAAACATAACACAAGGAAGAATTAACAGTGAAAATTAACATAATATGTAATTTTAAAAACATTACTAGTGCTAACTAAAATGTACTGCGAACGTAGAGTCTCTGAGATGTCTTGTCATGTTGTGTCGATTTGCAGGTCACACTGCTGTTGTTAGGAAGGAGGAAGCGTAACAGCTCCTGTTGTGCTGCTGTTTCTTGGGGCTCAGTTGTCTCAATACGGTACAGTTACCACCTGTGTGAGATATCCATGGAAAAAAGAGCCAACACAGCATCCTTTTCTTCCCTCCTGTGTGGGGATGTCACTCACCTGTCCGAAGCGTGCATTTCTTTGGGATGACAATACTGCTGACGTCATCACCGCTTCCCAAGAACAATAAGCAGAGTGCCCCTTTAATATTGTAGCAGATGTTCTCAGAGTACCCTACCAGACGGACCACATAATTTAAAGTTTTTGTTCTACCTTATCTAACTCTACATCTTATAGATGTAAATATCTTTACGGGTCTGTGGTCACTGATACTGGTTTCTAACAGCACATTTTCTTTTAGGAAAAAAGTAGTCAGTGGAAAATCCAGACACCACTGGATCCATTCTGAAAAGTAACAACGGTAAAGATGGACTGATATCTGACTCCACTTTATTGCTTTGAAAACATATTAATCATCCATTAAATGACGAATAGCAGGATCTAGCAGGTACATACTGAAACCCAAACAGCTTAAACCTATGCCCAGTGAACTGCATCTGCTGTAAGACAAAACTGTTCCAGGTATAGTTCCTTTAGTCAGATCAAGTTTGATGTTCATGATCGCCTGTTTAGCTGTAGTGTTTTCTAGGAAGGTCTAGGAAGGCCACCTGAGGCAAAAAAGAGTAATATTCTTGGAAGAATGTTTCATATGGTTCAGGGTTTTTTTCCCCCAGCAAAAGTAAGGTAAGCAAACAAACTAAAAGCTTTTTATAACATTCCCAGGAAAAATACAGAGTTTTTCATAGCACTTTTGGTGCATGTGACAGCTCTCAGCAGGTCCCTTCATATTACTATTCATTTGCAACGGTATACAACATTCTTCTTGATTTTTCAATCCTTAAATGACTGGCATGTATGCTTTTAAAACTATTTTCCTTTAAAAAGTGTATAGAACATCCTCCTGTAACTAAAGACGTAAGATCTCCTTGAGAACTCACAGCTCCCCCTTGAGTTGTTGTGAGTATCCAAGAACATGATGCCCCAGCCACTGTTAATACTTTTACTTTTTTTTCTGTTGCGTCTCATCCTTGAGCATAGCTCTGGTAAATGCAATTCACATTTTGCCTGAAACTAGACAGACATTTTTGTTTGTTTTTATTTATTTTATAAGATTGACATGTACATAAGCGAGGCTGTGGTCTTTTCTCCTCTGCATTTTTGTCAAATGGTCTAGACAGTGTGGTTGAAAACAATGCTCTTTAATCTTGTGACAAGATGTTTACCAGCCCCCTTTAATAATAAGCGTAAATTCTTTATGGCCAGTTTCAGCTAAGAATGACCTTCCATAAATAAAGACCTAAAACTCTTTTAATACTTCTGGATGAAGACTAAAGTCTGTTTCACTATTTGAGCAA